TTAATTGGCACGACAAGGCAAAATACCTGATGACTTGAAGTTATCAGGCTTACAACTATACTTCGCATACATCATCTATACACATAATAATTTGAATGTAGAATATGAAAACATTAACTTCCCCCAGGTTTCCCACCTTCTGCTTGCTGTTCGCAGTCTTGGCTGGGGCCTTCTTGGCATGGTCGAGGTAGGCACGCTCTCCCCAGAGGACGACAGCTTCAGGCGAAATCAACTGTCATGACAATTCTGTGAAAACATGAACTTTGATTTTTCAATGGGCAGGCGGCAGGCAAACAGGCCTTGATTTGCCGCCACAGCTCGTCCTTCACCGCCTTGCCACCAAAGACATTCCCAGGGATGTAGTAGTCGCCCAGGAGGTTGTTCATGGTGAAGGCTGCAAAACGGCAGATTGCTTTCACTTTGCACATGAATGCTTTTGTTAGACTCAAACCGGTCCTGACATTTCCCATCGATTTTCATCGTGCGATTGCTTCACGAAGTGAAGCAATCGCTCTGGACAGCGCAGCAAATTATAGATGAGTTTCTGCACTTCGGGTTTGACTCGCCACGCCTGAACCAATACAGTCAGCACTGGACGCACATTACTCACACCAGAAATGTTAGACTTAAAATCACACCGACGCCTGCCTTCTGCACCACCGAGGCGTTGTACTCCGCCACAGCGGAAGACAGGTGCTCTCGCAGCGCTTTTGTGCTCGAGCTGGAGGCTTTCTTTCTCCGAACAGCCTCCTTGAACACGAGGACATGCTGCAGTGGGCCAGGTCGCTCCTTGTCTCCCGTCCGGTGCTGCAGACCTTAGGCATGACTCCCAATACTGCCAGCGAACAAACGACAAGAAAGAGAAAATGAGCTTCGAACGAAGAGCAGCATACACATGCTGCTCAGGGTTCTCAACCGCCTGATAATTCCTCGTCAAGCTGAAAGGTGACTGAAACATCTGTGCACCAAATCGGCTCTCATCACTACATAATGGCCAATGGACAGCTTGACAACTAACTGCNNNGCCAGCACCTTGCAGGCCTTCACATCCTGCTTGATCTCATCTTTGCTGATGCCCTTAGACTCAGAGACCATTATGACAACCCTAAAATTCAGGCGATACATTGAGTTGGACAGCTGCACTGCATGCCAGGGGCTTTGTAGAGGATGAGGCCGAAGACGGTCTGAACGCAAAGGCCTTTGTTGTGCCCATCAACATAGCCAATGCTGAAGAGCTCGATCGGGGCGCCAGCCTCAGCCTGACTGCCCAAAGACAGGGTTCAAGTACTGGAAAGTCCACAGGGCAGGCAAGATTAAAGGTCCGCCTCTGAGCTGTCGAACTTGACATCCAGCGACTCCCTATGGGACTCGTACCCCTCAAGGATGCTGGGGAAGTGTGCCCGCATGGCCGCCCGTGACGGCCACCCCCCTCCCTGGTACTTGGCGTCCTCGCTCAAGCTGAGCTGCCAGGGGCTGACATACCTGAGGTCCGCAGGCAAACTAAAGGAACGCCGGGTAGCAGTTTCAGAGTCCCACACCTACACTTCAGACATTTAAAATTCGGCCCAGGCACATGTCCTTGCGAGATCCAGGGGGCACTGTCGTTGACACAGGACCGGTCAAGGTGGGCTCGTGTGCCCTGACCTCCGGCATGTCGACAATTTCTCGAATCGCCTGTCATGTAGCCATTGCACACTGTGCAACTCTGCGCCTTGCCTATTTAATGCCGAGCATCATGCGCGAAGCCAGCTCGCTTGTCGCCGCCGAACTTGTCCTGCAGCCAAGCGCCGGGGTTCAGCTCGTTGATGACCTGTCATGTAATTATTAAACATTATTATGAACGGGCAGACATGGGTAGCTGGACAACGCCTCTTCGAAGCCTTCCAGGATTTTCTCCAGAACACTCATCACTGAGTGAAGTGGGCCCTTGCCCTCCATCTCCTCCTCCTGAAAACAAAGACACCACTGTTACTCAAATTGACTCAAAAACCTTTGGGACCAGCCTCCTTCACCATCTTCGCTGTCTCGGCCATGGCTCCGCAGACAGGTGGACAGTAGGTCACGGCTGCCGTGCTGTGCCTAGGGCATTCCTGAAGCCCATGGCTAAGCAAAAGGGATGTGATGTGGAATATGTGCCCGCACAGCTCATTGTCATGTCATGTCTCAGAATGTTGCACCCTGGAATGAGTTTAAGCCAGCTCGATCGACTGCGCGCCCTGTGCCCCAAGTTGTGAAACCCTATACATGTCTTCGAAAGGTTACCCGAAGTTTGTGCACATTGTGCGGCTCGCCATCTGCGAGAATTGGACGCACACGCTGCCGCGGAGCAGCAGCAGACAGAAGGAAATTCAATCTTGGAGGAGGTTCACCTCGAGTCCAGATTAACGAATCATTTGTATCATTCTGACAAGATGCACACGCTAGAGATTTGACAGCTGCTGCCCAGTGACGGTGACCAAATGGCTGCATGCCTGCTAACTGTAAGAGATAGTGTGCACCTCTTTCATATTGGCAATATTGCGTTGACAAATGATGCGCCAGCTTCACCAGATCAGCTTTTCGGTTGTCCCGCATGTATGTGCCTGTGCCTCAAATATCACTGTCTCATAGTGACATTACAGTAAGACTCTCTGTGCAGCAAGCTGTCTTGCAGCAAAGACACAGGGCACCTCACTCATGGCAAGGCGCTGCAGCTTGCCGACTATCTCTGCCCTCCGCAGCCCTGTATCCACCAGCAACGGCGGTTGTGACAAATCGTGGTCAGAGACAAAGGCCTTGACCAGAACGAAGACATCGTGATCGTGTGCCTGGTGGTTTCTTGGCTCCTCTGCCTCTGCCATGAAGCGACGCGGAATGCCTGCAGTCGCCTCCCTTTTGAATCTAACCTACTGCAACCATTTATTCACACATGACATGCATGATATCCCTTTGAATCCAGACTGCCACTCCGCCGAACAAACGTGAAGCTGTGAGGCACGATTCTTTGATCCTCCAGGTCTCTTTTCCTATAAGCTCCATAAAGATGAGCATGTGCTGGCAGGTTATCTTTCCAGTTTCGCACCGATGGAACATACCTCACAATGACAAGCATGCTTTGAGACGAGTGTGCGAGTGAATTTCGCCTCACACTGACCAGTCAGTCCAAGGTAAGGCCAGGACTCTACAATCAAAGGGATTCCCCGCCTTTCAAAGAGAGGCACGACTTTCTCTTTCAACAGCCTGAAGACCACAACATAAAGTGACGGCAACAACAACAACATGTAACACTGACACCACAGTCTGGGTCTAGGTCCGAACGATGTCCTGCGGTCTCTGCCTGACATACACAGACAATAGTGTCAATGAGTCGAAGAAGGCCATTACAGCAGGCATTCTTTGCGGACACGTTGCATCAGATCGTCGCCCTCACGGATAAATTTGCATAGTAGGCCAAAGAAGGCATCTGGCAGGCTTGGGCTTGCGAAAAAAACACAACGAAACGACCCAATAAAGACGTTGACAGGCCGCTGGGGCACCAATGTCTTCGTGAGTGTGACCGACTGTGAGGTGGTCATGGGAGACCACCTCGAACGCATCGCTGCTCACCAATGAAGAGCAATAGCGGGCGAAAACACTGTTCTTCACTTCCTGCTCATGGAGGGTGAAGGGACGGGACTGGAGGGGAATGTTTGCAGACTTTTGACAAACAATACAGTATGGGCCTTGGGTGTGTTATCTGCGAAAATTTTCAGCAAAGATGGCCAGCCCGTGCCATTTTGCTGGCTGAGAGCATAAGCTTTCTCCAAGGCGCGAGAGACATTCTCCACTGTCCAGCTGCTCCCAGTGGTCTGGTCTTCGTCCGTTACAGCAACATAGATGAGGCGTCCATGCACCATAGTGCAGGTCAGTTCACATTGAGGTCGCTTCAAGTCCTCGATGTCTTTCGGAGGCCTGCCCTGCACCCAGCGAGGCAGGGCAAATTTTCCCTTGTCCATTGAGTCAGTTATCAGAAGCAGGAGGTCCTTGTCGGTTCGTGCTCTATTTCTTAACGCCCAATACATGGACCGGTCGAGAAACTGCCCGCCCAGATGTCGCATGAGTCGGTCGGAAGCGGCAGCCATCTCCTGCAGGCCTCGCGCGTGTCGCAGCTGAGACTTCAGCTTGGCGCAGACGTGGCATTGGCTGTGCTGACTCTTGCCCCTGAAGATGAGGACCCGGCGCCAGCCACTCTCATTCAGAACCCTGTAGAATGTAGTGGACGAAGCGCAAGGTTCAGAGCTGGCCATCTGGTGAGACACATACATTTGATACATATCGCTGTATTTCCCGGGCGGCAAGTACCGCTTGGCCAAGTTCCTGGGGCGGCATGCCATGTTGCTGAAGGAAAGGTCCTGCTCCAGCGCTGCATCCAGAAGAAGATCTAGGAGACAGTTCCGGC